GACTCTCTCTTCTCTGAACTCGCGGGGTCGACACCGAGCCAACTTCATGCAACACATGTGTCATTTCGGAGAATAGCTAATTACGCCGCATCTTAGACCCCGATTTATGGGAACAAAATCTTGTCGATAAATCTTGATCTTGGCCAAGATCTGCCAGTTTCACGATTTATGGGAGCAAAATCTTCCGATATATCTTGCCAAGATTTCTCGAGGCCCGAAATCTGCCCTTTCGAACGAACCTTGACCCAAGATCTGTCGAAACGAGCCTTCCGACAAATCTTGAGGCGGCCAAACAAATCTTGCCTGGGTGCGGCGCGATCGCGGAAGGTCAGTCAACCTAATGTCCATAACGCCATGAAATCTGCACGTGGCACACTCGCAAGGGTCTCTAACGCACCCTGGCGTCACTGTGTCAGCGCTACGGGCGCCGACAGCGAACGAAAACGACCAAAGCGCGCGAAAAAAATGCGTATTTGCCCTGGCTCGTGCCACGTGCGTCATCACCAGTCTGTCGAGGGACCGTTCAAAGAGTACTTTATTTTGAAGAAGAAAAATAGAGGAGGAGGAACGTTTTGCCAACACAGCTCTGTCGTGTGCGACGCTTCTATCTCTTCATCGAATCACCCCACACCCAATCCTTTTGCACCCGAGCCAGATCCATGAGTGCAGATGACAGCGCCGGGGGTTTGACCTCGGTACGCCTGCTACATAGTGAGATACGTGCACGGGTGTAATCGGCTTCGGGTTGATGCACTTTCTTGTCAGTTGGACAGCAATGGAGCAATTTTGTTTCTCCGCTTGATATGAGCTCGTGGGCAACGGCCTCTATTTTGCACTCCAGATAGGCGCCCATCGCGAGTATCCACCCATCGTGTTGAAGCAATACAGCTGGGGGAGGGACGCTCCTTTTACAACTGCGTCATGGTCACTTTTCGCCACACCTTGGCATTGTCTGTGGACCAAGTGGCCGTTGTGCCTTTATCAACTTCAAGCAGAAGAGAGGAACAACACGCCGCTTTTTCAACATTCAACATATTTCCCCCATAAAAATAAATCGCGATACTGCAAATCTTGGCGGCGATACATTGTGAGCAAATCTTGGGTCAAAATGCGGAGATATATTTGCAAGATTCTGTTTCCATGAAGAAGGGTCTTAACGTCAACACACCAGAAAGCGGGGACAAGGTCCAAACAGCCCCTGAACCGAGCCTACTTCGTACCACAAAGGCACGTAGAGGTGATCAACTGTTCCAGACAAGCCTACAATATCTCTCTTTTAACCGGGATAGTTACCTCTCACCTGGGCACAGATAATAAGCTATATCTGTGGAGATCGATCATGTAGGACAATCAAGCGGTGGTACGACTTCAAGCGGGTGATCGGCGACGCCCAACATCAGTCATATGGTTCCTCACAAGCTCGATAATCACTCACAAGGGTTGGCAGTTGATCAGGCACAAAGGCAAGGGTATGGCTCAGTTTCTCTCGCGTGATCGGCGGTGGTAACTAACCACCTGGGTGTTGGTCGGGAAGGCACGCCGAGGGAGGCGGTGCAATCCCGGGGGTCAGGGGACATGTCCTGAACCCCCCAACAGGCTGGACCGGGCGACCATAATAGGTCTGTTCGAATCCCCGGTCATTACAGCCCGCGCCCTCCGGATACTTCGCGACCATAGCAAAGTATCCAACATCGTATTAAGAACAGGTTGGGACGTCCGGCCGGAACACCCCCCCAGCATCGACCGTGACAAACGGCTATGCTAAAAAGGCGAAGACCACACCCCTTCTTGCTCTCGGTTTCTCCTACTCACCGCAAAGAGTGTAGATCTGGGTTGGTCGTACACCACATGGTGCAAAACACCGATGGTTCCAGGTTGATTATCAAACCGAGAGAACAGGAGAAAGGCACAAAAGCTTGGTATTCACAGACCAGCGCGTTTTCTGCGCCCACACCTTAATCAAGTCCTTTTGTCGATACTCTACAACACGCTGATTTTGGATCCACATTCAATGCCTGCTGGTCCCACATGTGGTGTGACGGTAGTTACACGTATCATAGTGGTGGGTCGGTGGCACCTGGTTTCCTGAGTTGTCAGCTGTCCTGGAAACACCATCATCCCTTGTCCGCATACGGATGGAAATTGAGAATTATTGGCAGGTGAAAATGCGATGGCGTTTTACACCTGCGTGGTTTCATAATGAACGTAGTGGGTTTGCGGCTCCGTTGGTGACGTAAGTATCTCGTATTGGCATTTTCGGCCATCAGAGGTACAGTCAAGGGTATAAGTCAGCGGTAGTCGGGAGTGGTCAAATGGTGCACACAGAAGGAGTTGGTTGGTGAGTCAACTGCATGTTGTGGTCTATGCGGAAGGTCAACAAAGGAGACACATCTTCTTTACTGTTTTTCTTTCGAATTCCCTTGATTAATATTTTCTGTGGCCTACGGAGGGAGACTTCCCCCGTACCACACGTCCCGCACGGCACAAAGCCTCCGCGGTATCCTAACGTCTCTCTGATACTAAACACAAATCTCCCTCCGAATACCACCAGACGGGACGAAACTGTTGTACAGTAGCAGTCTCGGACGATTGAGCCTCCCAATGGTACGCTACCATTCAGAAAACACCCCATGCTACGCTAACTTGCTTCTACATAGCAGAGGTGGCTCCTCCGAGTCACAGAAAATATTAAGAGGCCTCTTCAAAGTGAGCCCACACTCGTAACATCTCCCCTATCCCCCACCTTAGAAAGAAAAGGGGTGGGTGGGCGGGAGAAAAGCCACGACATGATTGCTAGCTATCGTCCAAATTTCGATGTAGCTAGCTGCTGCCCTTCTGCCGCGTGTCTCAAAGCGGGCTGCATGGTACATATTGTGTCTTTCTCACAACGTGGCCTTTGGGTCCAGTGGACAAGCGTCTATCAAACTCTTGCCGCAGGAGCAGCAAGGCAGCAGAATGAGAACTCCGTGAGACCTTTCTCTTTTTTTTTTTTTTGTTCTTAATATGACACAACGAATCCATCTCTATCTATAGAAGAGTCTGAGCCAGATTAGCAATGAATTCATAGCGTCAGAAAGTACCTGTGTCTACGGTTTCCCAGACAGCATATAGGGACATCTCCCCTGCGGGTAACAGGCTCAACAAGACAGTTTGGTAGCTGTCTTGTGTGTCTCATATATGTTATGTTGGGAAGGTGTAGAAGAAATGTGTTAGGTACTGGTCGGGCGTTTTGTGTGCTTTTTGGGACCCAGAAAACCGATTCAAGACATCCGAACCAACGCGCCTCCAGGGCGGCACAACAAGAACCCAAATACACACGTAGATCTGGGAGATGTTCCGAATTCTTCCGTGCACAATAAACTACAGCAGTTTGTTCGGTCTTCGACAACAAACTTTCATATTACTATCGAAGTGTTCCGCGGTGGATGAAACACGAAAACAAACATCAAACAAAAAAAGCGAACTCCACACCGTGACTATCATACTTACTCTTTCTCCTTTTGGTCCCCTTCTTATCTGAATCCCTGTGCAATGCCTACCTCGCATGGCGAGAACGGTAGTGCTCAGAGTCTGTGTGCGATGGGTTGATTGTATCGTACATGGACTGATTGTTGCTGTGTGCCACAAACGGCCATCATTTCATTGACTTGATGCAGCACAACGTTCCAGCAGGGATGCAGGATCGAGCAGACCGGAAGGAGAGAACTACCAGTCGAGAGTTTTTAACTCGCCTCTCGCCCCATTTCACACAAAAACAGGCAAACATGCATGCGCCCACTGCTGTAGGTACTGCTGTAGGTGCAAACCGGTCCAGAATAGATACGTAAATCCACGGTAGTGCAGACACACCGGCTCGGTCATACTCACGATACTTACCCCAGTAGTGCGGATAGGTGCTCAGACACATCGAATCAGGCATGTGTGCAGCATTGCATCGAGGAGGATCTTGAACAGGGCATGAACACGCTATACATGCAAGCTGGAGACATACACCAGAACAAAGGGCTGTCGTAGAAAAACCTCGGCCCGCACACGAAGATACCAGCACGACCATTTGGACCGGCGGAGGAAATGCAGTAAACCCACGTCACAGGGAATAATGTACTACTGTAGATGAGTACAATACACAGAACCGATGATGTGCGTCATGTGGACGGTATAAAGTACACGTATAAATAGCGAGCACACAAATCAATGTGGGAGCAAACAAGTTCCACACCCAAGCACACTACAAACAATGTAGTGTGGTTGCGCTGTTCAAGAAAAATCAAGACAGCAGAAGCAGCACCTCTCGGTGTGTGCCGCGACAGGTACAGTATATGGTAGGCCTTCCAGCAGATTTGAGGAGACGCTGTACAGCAGTGTAGATCACATAAGCTACACGCAAAATACCACGTCCGATTTGGACAACACAAACTGCATGTAGCGTGGGAAAGATGGAGAACTGCTCTAAAGTGCTACAGCAGTATGTACGGCAGGCAGTAGAGAAAGGGCGCTGCATGAAGCCGCCCAGGGAGTGGCACGCACACGCACCTCCGATATCCATGGGAGAACGGTAACCACCCTTCCTGCGATCGAGACCGGACAGCAAAACCGCAGGGCCAAAGAGGTACTGCAGAAAATCTCAACGACAGGGTTAGGTGACAAAGTCTGCCGGTTGTGTAAGGTCCGAGCGTGTGTATAACGGTGTGGCTGCACCAGAGCAGCAGGAGGCGGCGCAACAACCACAACAGCTGCCGCTGTGCCGAAACAGAACATAATTTCCTCGGGAACAGATGCTGATCCACGCACAACGACGTGTGCCGTGTGTACATACACTAGACCTCCCCCTTGTAGCTTTGGTCAGGAATGCTGTGGTAGGGGTATACAGCAGTAGTTCATGAGCAGCCACAGGTAGGTAAGGGAAGCCCGGGCAGTTCCACCGGCTGCAGGCTCGTGATGAATCACATGCATCCAGGCTTGCCGCCCCGGTGGTCTAGTTGGTAGCCTTGTAACCTTCTAGAGGTCAGGTCAGGGGTCGAATCCCGGCGTAGGCGGGCTTTTCTTGCAAAGTGAGTTTTTCTCTCGCTTCCGCTCCTGGCCAAGTGGATAGCGCTAGTTCGTGTGTACACAGAGGGAAGAGAGTGCTGAACTCTTCTCGCATTAAAAATTGAAGGCGAAGTACCGCAGGAGGGGAGGGTAGAGAGAGGCTCTTCTGTGTGACCACGGGTTAGAATAAACGGCACTATTAGTGCTGTGAGCGCTGCTTTGAAGTGAACAACAAAAACAAAAACAAAGAAAAAGGCTTGTGGATGAATCCGATGTCAACGGAAAAAAACGGGTGTGTTGTGAGCATGGACATCTGCAACAATATGAGATGGCACCCAGCGTACATAGACTACTGAAGATGATACAGCGCCAGGGTATGGCAAGATCGAGCAAACGACAAGTAGGCAGGCCAAGCGGGGTTTCACCAGCAAAGTTCCAAGGAGGAAGGTCATGTGGCAGTGTGCTCACGCGGGAAGTTGTGCACAGGCCAAAAAGAAAAGAACCGAGAGCAAAAAAAAAAAATGTACAACACACGCTGTCGTCAACGTATGTGTGAGAAATCGCCGGAACCAATCACCAATCCAACAAAGGAAAATATACCGCGATGTGTGACGGCGCCAAGTAACCGAGATAGAGTATGTGGTGGGCTCCAAGGCGTCGTGGGACCTACTGCAGTCAGTCGTGCGTTGGCGTATGATGCCGTGCTGTGGAGAAAACGGGATTTCGGTGGTGCGGCGCAAGATCCACCAACCATGGGTAAGATTGCGGTCTGCTGTGAAGATGCAGGCGGAAATGTGTACATGCGCATGCATGTGAGCGGATCCACGCCAAAGATATGGGGCGATGTGACTCGTCCGGTACGGTGAGGTCGGAGTGCACAGATAGGGCACGACCATGCACGCATCAGTGGTCCGGGATGATTCGTAATAGGAATGCGTGATGTGGATGACATGCAAGATCCAGAAGTTACGTAGCAAGCAACCATTCCAAAAAAAAATGAAAAGAAGAGTTTACCGAAAAACTGGCGGGCGTGACGGCCGGTAAACAGCACACACAATCGCCACACACTGCACTCGGAGTAGACAGGATGAGGAGTTGGTGAATCCAGCAGTGTGAGAGAGTCTCCCACGCTAGCAGATTCGTCGAGAGGGGTCTAGCGAGAGCTCGTTCGATGTCCAAAAAGTGAGTGGGTGGAGCTAGTGATGAGACGAAGAGTGCATGAAAAAAAACAAAAATCTCAGAACAGCACAAAAAGTCACTCGAGTTGGTAACGCCCCCACTCGTAGCGAAGCCCGACACACCTGTGGTGTCCACATGCTTCAACCGTACGTGTACCATGTTCCAGACAAGCCTATATCTCTCTTTTAACCGGGATAGTTACCTCTCACCTGGGCACAGATAATAAGCTATATCTGTGGAGATCGATCATGTAGGACAATCAAGCGGTGGTACGACTTCAAGCGGGTGATCGGCGACGCCCAACATCAGTCATATGGTTCCTCACAAGCTCGATAATCAGCTCATCAGGTTCAGCACTCACAAGGGTTGGCAGTTGATCAGTTTCTCTCGCGTGATCGGCGGTGGTAACTAACCACCTGGGTGTTGGTCGGGAAGGCACGCCGGGGGAGGCGGTGCAATCCCGGGGGTCAGGGGACATGTCCTGAACCCCCCCAACAGGCTGGACCGGGGGAACATATTAGGTCTGTTCGAATCCCCGGCCACTACAGCCCGCGCCCTCCGGATACTTCGCGACCATAGCAAACTATCCATCATCGTATTAAGAACCGGTTGGGACGTCCGGCCGGAACACAACAGCAGCAGCCAGCGCGCACATCGTACTCAGGAAAACAGGAAAATCAGGGTTCAGCTCCATCCACCACGCGTCGACCGTGCCTGATAATCGAGCGTGCCCTCAGGTGAGAGATGGCAGAGTGCGAGCAAAACTCTCCGCAAAAATGATGCAGTCTCCCAGAAGCCTGGTAGAAGCCTGCTGCTAAGGACGTGCCGCTCAGCCACAACGTGTAGTAGAGAGGTCAAGGATTCACGAGACAAGAGACGTGCTGCACCCCCTGTGGAGTATCGCGCCTACACCCGATTGCTGAGGTTCTCGACGAGAGTTCAACAACCACTTTTTTCCCTTGACGCTCCTCCCGTTGGTACCTGTTGGTGGGGAGGCACTCATCATGCCGGGCAGGTGTGACGTGGTGATGGTTAGACGAATGTCCAGGAAATGTGCCTACGAACACTTACATGAACATACACAAACCGTATTGAGCATGTTTTGTCTGTGTGCTAACTTGTCTTTTAACTACCAACTCCCAGTTCCGTGGAGCTACGGAACACGCACCATATTCGGTGCCGAGGAGTGGAAGAAACAATGAAGCAAGGCACGATTCAAGACCCAGATGTTCAAGACGAACAAGAAATGAAAGGTCTGTGCCTCGGCAAGAGGCTTGGCGTAGTAAATATCGGCAGTCACATGAGACGGTCGTCTCCAGGCTCGCGTGTGAGCAAGTTCCTTTTGGGATGTGTGGTGTGGATACACATCGGTTCAACCTCTGGTGGAGAGACTGACGAGTACGGATAGTTGTGAGTCAGGGGGGAGCAACCTTGCGTTGAAGCAAGGTTCAGCGTCCATCCTACACTGACTCAATCTGTGGCAACACCCCGAAAGTAGATTTCGGACAGGTCATCTGACGTCACAATCTACGACAGTCTGAGATGGCATTCAAAGCGCCCCCCCTATCTTCAATCGCGGGGCCTGAATCCGGAATGAAATACACAAGAATTACATCAATACTCCAGAGGGTATGAAATTGTGAAGTACTGATGAAAAACATGAGTTAAATGACTTGGGCCATAACATGGCCTGAATCCGGATTGAAAGATACAAGAATGACATAAATACTACAGAGGGTATGAAATTGTGAAGTACTGATGAAACACATGAGTTAAATGACTTGGGCCATAACATACGGCGACTGCCATCATTCAACGAATGCATTGTGTTTTGTAGTTATGATGTGTCACCAAAATATCTCATCCGAGCATCGATCGTACATAGCACAGTCATAACCACAGCTTGCACGAGAGCAATTCAGGAATTTTGGCAACTATTCCCGTACGACGAACGAATAACTACACAGATGACGAAAGGTGTACGGAACATGTCACTTCAGTCCGCCTCGGCGCTGTAGGTAACATGTGATCTACGAACGAGCGACGTGTGTACAGAAAAAACATCACTCCGGTGCGCGTCTTGCCCCGATAGTGTAAACAACTGTACAAGTACATGTAGTACAAGTAGTACCTTGTGACAACGCCGTGAACGATTTTGTAGTTGCACGTAACGAACATCCAGCTTCGAAAAATAATTTGGCATTGCACATGTGAAAAAGTATTGCTTGCAAGGCTTAAATTTCACAAGTGTCGAATGGCAAATGCCGTGGGTCGACCAGCTGGGAAAACGTTGCTCAAACGATATGCAGCGGCAACAGCGAACGAACATATGTACACAGCTCATGGAGAGCTAACGATACGACCTTCTGATGCGATCACGCAGCAAGTGAGAGGTGCTGCATAGACGAACGACGACGAATGTTGATTACGAGTAAAGCAAACAATGTGCTGTAGCATGGATTTGACGCAGTGGTGGTACGAAAGTCTGGTCCTCTTGTGCTTCCTCTTGCACGGCGAAGACCACCATCTACTCTTTCGCAGTGTACGACACGCGAGAAACGATGTGCGGGATAACGAAAGGTGTACGGAACATGTCACTTCAGTCCGCCTCAGCGCTGTAGGCAACATGTGATCTACCGTACAAACGAACCGCACGGGATGAAAATCCACCGCACACTACGACTAGACAAAATCAGGCATGAACAAAAACGTGTGACCAATGCAAATGTGCATGGATGCAGAAGTCGATTATCAAACTGCAAATGAGACGATATCACCCCCCAAATTCATGACGGAGTGGAAGAGAAAAACGACGAACTTCCGATCACACATATTCACTCACATCAAGTATCAACCGACCCCATACGACGCACTCGTATCTCAAGGACAGCGACACAACGGTAATGGACGCTTCATACCACGTACGATTGTCTACAAACGGACGCAAGTTTCAATCATAATTGAAAACGCTGACGGAGCTCGCACGAGGTACTATTTCGTACGGCATTCAAACAGAGAAATATATATTAAAATTAATCACACAACGAACGGGCAACGCCATGCCTTAAAAATGACGTGCGCTAGCATGCATGTCCAACGAAACGAAGACACACAACCATGCTTGGTTCGCGGAGGGCGACTCTCGACGCGAACTAGGCTCCGCCTGCCGACTTCCACGAGGTGTTGCATCCAACGTGGGCGTATCCACCAACAACGACAATGTCCAGCCGCACTGCGAAGGAGCGTTGGGGACGGCGAGCGCTACGAAACGATCGTGCTGGACAACGAACAATAACATATATGTACATAACAAAATAAACTAAACGAAAACGTAGCCCTAGTAAAATAAACGAGACTCGAAACGAATAAGGCAAAACATAGCATGAGACACGAAACGAAGCAGCCAGGACGCTACTTCCTAGGAGACTGATCGAAGGCGTGCGGATTATCACGAAGAACGCACGCTCGATATGAACGGATAATCTCATGACACTAGGGTACTTCTTTGAAGTGCTTCCAACACCCAAGACTCGCAGGCCGGTCTCTGAGGAGGAAATAATATTGGAAGTTGTGGAGAGACGGTTGTTTCCTGCTCCACGTTTAAATTTGTCTGTCCCCTCGACGACGTACGATCCAATTTTTACGGTAAACACGGTACCATCCAAATCGGGAATTGGAAGTGTTTGTCCCAAAAACATCTCATCCAATTCAGTAAAATCGAGGACAGAATCACGCTGAAAAGCATAATACTTTTTCATACGACCCAAGTGTACTGACGTTTCCGCGAGTTCTCCGTCTTTGCAAACACGATACATGACGGCTAACACTTTTGAACGAACGGTGAATGGGCCATGCCAAGGGCTGATCAGCTTGGGATTAGGGCCATCAATAACGGTTTGGGACGATGTACGAGAACTTGTTCCCCAGGAGTGAACTGCGGTACGGATAATTTTTCGTTCGAGTCTGCTTGCTTGTCAGTTCGCTCTTTCAAGTTATGACGAGCGATCTCATACACGAGTTGCAAGTTTTCCACGGTACGACGTGAATATTCCATCCGCGAAGCAGAGCTATCATGAGACGGTACACCAAGAATTACATCCACGGGAAGCAAAGCCTGGCGACCGAACATCAGATAATGAGGAGTTTCCTCAAGAGTTTGGTTGTACGCGGTGTTATGGGCGAGTTGCACAAACGGTAAACGCTCAGCCCAATTATCAAATCGAACGTTTGCATTCATTGCGAGCATGTCATGCATTGTGCTGTGCATGCGCTC